AACAAACAACTTGCACGCTGTGTTTACCTGTGTTGACTTTTGTGTATGTCCCAATCTTACTATCAATTTGCAATCGCGTGCCGGTCAGTTTTCGTAGCAGTTTGTAGCCGGACTCTTATTGCTCGCGCACGTTTATTGCAACTTATATTCAACGTGCTACATTTGATTAAATTTGGCAAAGTATAGTCTGCACGCATCGTACGTCGCGATTTACTGTGATCGTATTCCTGTGTTATGTTTGTAAAACTGAAGTGCTTTCTGTGCCGGAAAGAAGTGTTGTGGTGCATCAGCCGTCGGATGAATTTCGGCATCTAATCACAGTTATTTTGCACTCTATTTTGGAACTAGTAAGTAACATAAATCATTTATATAAGTATTTAATGGCATTACAAATATATTTAATGTTAATGCAAAGAACAAAAAACATGCGGCGCCTGATTAAGTGAATCGATTTCACACAAATTTCTTTTCTATTCACATCGTCCTCTGTGTGTATTGTACCGAAGATGCAATACGTGTATCTTCGGTACAATTTAGAATATTGAATTATTTAAGCGACGCGGGTAATCATTTCTAAAATTTTATATATTATAAACTATTATTTAACAATTTTACGACTTTTTATTATTTATAAGTTTATAGAGATATTTATACATACTCAAAAATTAATTTGATTATTTGAGTTAAAATTTGATTATACGATACTCTCTTTCAAGGAATGTCGTCAAGATTGTTTTTATGCAGTTTTTTAATACACCCTGTGAAACTGGAATTTTAGCGCTTATCTCTGTTTGCATCCGTAGCTACATGCGTGCGCGCTCCGGACGCATGCCGCAGGCGCACGTTTCTTTCACTCGAGTCTAGTTGATCGCTATTTCTACGTAGTTGAACAGACGCGGACTGTACGCATCAAACGCGTATCGCCATTTTAATTCGGCAACAATCCTTTTCGTTTGCTAGTTATATACGGGTGTTATATTGTGCTGGGTTAATTATGGTTCTTCGGTACAGGACCGATGAGACTGGGGTAAATTCTCCGGAGCCCGGCTGATCGCTCTTAAATCGCAAACACAAAAAAATCAGCATAAAATTAACGATTGCCGGGATCCGCGGTGGTTCTCGACGGCCCTGCCTACTTGTGACCAAAATTAGACGACCGGCACGGTTGGACACAATTAGGAGATATTCGCAATTCAAAAAAAAAGGCAAAAAATTGCACTTTTTGGTCTTTTTATCCCACGAAATTAAATTATTTTAAATTCTTATCCAATGCAGAATTTTCCAATTTTTCATAGCTTTCAATCCGTTGGTCGCTATCGCGTTTAGTTTGAAATATATGCACTATTATCGTTTATTGACTCGAATATGCCAAGAACGCCTCGTCTTCTGGGCACCGTATGAGGGTAGCGGTAGAAGTGACTCGTATTCAAGGCACCGTACATGGGCAGCGGTAGACGTGACTTGTGTTCCTGACACCGTATGAGGGTAGCGCTAGAAGTGACTCGTGTTCAGGGCACCGCACCAGGGCAGAGGTAGAAGTGACTCGTGTTCAGGGCACCGTACGTGGATGATTGTATAGCTGACTTCCATTTGCCCATTTTTTCTTATGAATTAAAATTTCATCTTTTATATATGGATTTTAATTAACTCATCTTATCGAAAATTTTCCGCAGATTAAGAATTTTAAATCTGTTCCTATCTATCTCTTTTAGTTTACGAGATATTCTGCAAATAAAATAAATCGTCAAAAATTGAAAAATTGCAATTTTCTAGTCAGTGTTTTTTAAACTTTTAATTCCATTAAATTAAATAATTTTCGTCTGATAGAGAATTTTCCAATCTTCAATAATCTACAATTTTCTGGCTGCTATCTCTTTTAGGTTGGAAGATATTCGCTGTCGAAAATCGTCGATAAAAACTATCAATTAATAATAATATCATAATAATTATAATAATATTATAATTAGATTCATTTATTTTGAATAAGTATATCCTATTGACTTATATATTTGAAGTTTTGAGGAGTTATTTGTAAAAATTGCNTGTAAAAATTGCTATTTGTTTAGATAGGGTGGTGCATGCGCACTCTCGTGTACGTGTGATACACGGACACGGCCACTTAGGTGCGTGACCACTCACTGATACATAGGCAATCGCTCACTGCCTCATATGTACGCCACACTTTTTGAAACGCTGGAGGTACAATAAAGTATCTCCAGACGGCGCAGCGATGCATATTTTAACTAAAAATATTCCTGCGAGTGAAAGTCAGCGTGCACAGTTGTGATACCGGCACTCATCTGTTCGCGCGACGAGTAATAAAACTGCGAATACTCGTGTTTCTCGTAGTATTCGATATATCGCCGGTTACGTATTGAGGCGACCCGAACCCTCCAAAAGACCTCCGTTGGGCACTCAGAATTGCAATCTGCGTTCGTTCGACAGTACGGCACTTCGGGTGCTGCTCAGAATAGCACCATAAGGCGTGTTCTAATGTACTTTGTAAATGTTTACTAGATGGCGCTTGGATGCACATTTTAACTAAAAATTTTGGTGCACGAAGTGGTGTGATCTCGCGCGACCCCGCGTTTTATCTCTTATCTCAGTGCACATCGTGCAGATATAAACAAACAACTTGCACGCTGTGTTTCTCTGGGTTGACTTTTGTGTATGTCCCAATCTTACTATCAATTTGCAATCTGCGTGCCGGTCAGTTTTCGTAGCAGTTTGTCGCCTGACTCTTATTGCTCGCGCACGTTTATTGAAACTTTTATTCAACGTGCTACATTTGATTTTATTAATAATTGGCAAAGTATAGTCTGCACGCACCGTACGTCGCGATTTACTGTGATCGTATTCTTGTGGTATATTTGTAAAACAGAAGTGCTTTCCGTGCCGGAAAGAAGTGTTGTGGTGCATCAGCCGTCGGATGAATTTCGGCATCTAATCACAGTTATTTTGCACTCTATTTTGGAACTAGTAAGTAACATAAATCATTTATTTAAGTATTTAATGGCATTGCAAATATATTTAATGTTAATGCAAATTACAAGAAATATGCAGCGCTTGACTAAGGTTGACCGGCTCGACTTCACACAAATCTCTTTACTATTCATATTGTCCTCGGTGTAAACTTGTTGCACCTTTTATACAATTTGAAATATTGAATTATTTAAGCGACGCTGGTAATCATTTCTAAAATTTTATATATTATAAACTATTATTTAACAATTTTACGACTTTTTATTATTTATAAGTTTATACAGATATTTATACATACTCAAAAATTAATTTGATTATTTGAGTTAAAATTTGATTATACGATACTCTCTTTCAAGGAATGTCGTCAAGATTGTTTTTATGCAGTTTTTTAATACACCCGGTGAAACTGGAATTTTAGCGCTTATCTCTGTTTGCATCCGTAGCTACATGCATGCGCGCTCCGGACGCATGCCGCAGGCGCACGTTTCTTTCACTCGAGTCTAGTTGATCGCTGTTTCTACGTAGTTGAACAGACGCGGACTGTACGGTGACTGTACGCATCAAACGCGTGTCGCCATTTTAATTCGGCAACAATCCTTTGCGTTTGCTAGTTACGAGTATATACGGGTGTTATATTGTGCTGGGTTAATTATGGTTCTTCGGTGCAGGACCGATGAGGCTAGGGTAAATTCCCCGGGGCCCGGCTGATCACCCTTAAATCGCAAACACAAAAAAATCAGCATAAAATTAACGATTGCCGGGATCCGCGGTGGCTCTCGACGGCCCTGCCTATCTGTGACTCAAATTAGAGGACCGACACGGTTGGAAACAATTAGGAGATATTCGCAATTCAAAAAAGGGGCAAAAAAAGAAAAATTGCACTTTTAGTCACGTTTTTGGTCTTTTTATCCCACGAAATTAAATTATTTTAAATTCTTATCCAATGCAGAATTTTTCAATCTCTCATAATCTTCAATCCGTTGGTCGCTATCGCTTTTAGTTTGAAAGATGTGCACTATTATTGTTTATTGACTCGAATATGCCAAGAACGTTGACATTTCTTTCTTTATTTAGTTATATTGCAATTAATCGAAATTGTTGAGTTAAGTCTCATTCGGTTTACCGTAGCAGGTTGTCAATAGAAGTGCCTCGTGTTGTGGGCACCGTATGAGGGTAGCGGTAGAAGTGACTCGTATTCTAGGCACCGTACAAGGGCAGCGGTAGAAGTGACTCGTGTTCAGGGCACCGTACGTGAATGATTGTATAGCTGACTTCCATTAGCCCATTTTTTCTTATGAATTAAAATTTCATCTTTTATATATATGCATTTTAATTAACTCATCTTATCGAAAATTTTCCGCAGATTAAATATTTGAAATCTGTTCCTTTCTATCTCTTTTTGTTTAAGAGATATTCGCAATTAAAGTAAATCGTCAAAAATTGAAAAATTGCAATTTTAAGCTTTTTCAGTCACGTTTTTAAACATTTTATCCCATTAAATTAAATTATTTTTATTTTATTCTTTATTATTTTAATCTCCGTCTGATAGAGAATTTTCCAATCTTTCATAATCTACCATTTTCTGGCTGCTATCTATTTTAGTTTGGAAGATATTCGCTGTCGAAAATCGTCGATAATAACTATCAATTAATAATAATATCATAATAATTATAATAATATAATAATTAGATGCATTTATTTTGAATAAGTATATCCTATTAACTTCTATATTTGAAGTTTTGAGTTATTTGTAAAAATTGCTATTTGTTTAGATAGGGTGGTGCATGCGTACTCTCGTGGACGTGTGATACACGCACACGGCCACTCTCGTAGGTGCGTGACCACTCACTGATACATAGGCAATCGCTCACTGCCTCATATGTACGCCACACCTTTTGAAACGCTTTGTATTTTTTGGAGGTACAATAAAGTATCCTCAGACGGCGCAGCGATGCATACTTTAACTAAAAATATTCCTGCGAGTGAAAGTCAGCGTGCGCAGTTGTGCAGTTGGCACTCATCTGTTCGCGCGACGAGTAATAATACTGCGAATACTCGTGTTTCTCGTAGTATTCGATATATCGCGTTATATTTTTATTGAATTTAGTATTAATTATCGTATTTGGTAATTCGTTAAATATTTATAGCGTGTGTAATCTCCGGAATTCAGTATTTTGTGTGTTTATTATCTTACCGCGTGTGTTCGTGATCGGTTGACGTCGGACGCCGGCCGGCCATGTGTGATTGTAAATAAAATTGTAGTTAATTTCGGACTTGTGTGAATCATTATTGTCTTCAGCAGAACTTGTCGAGGCAATGTGCTACCTGGTAAGAATACTCATTTAAAAAAAACTTTGGGTTCCGCTGGAATTTAATTCTACATTGTCTGAAATTGTGTATCTAATGTCTTGTTTCTTCTTTATTTCAGTATCTACTCACATTTGATTTGCGGTGTTCGATACACAGGTAAGTAACATTTTTACTGTTTTCCTACAATTAGAAAATTGATATCTTAAACTTATTTTTGCGGAAATTTCTTTCAAGTACTCCGCAGAAAATTTGAAAATGGAAATTCAAACTTTTTATTGCGGATACCTCCATAAAATGTCGTTCTGAACATTTTATGATAGTAAAATTTTACTCTAGGACCCAAAGAGTTTCCCTAATTTGACCAAATGTGAATATACTTTTCAGCAGAAAACTTATAGATGAAATTTATAGGTTTTTCTACTGAAGTGCAATAAAATTTTGTGGAAAATCGCAATAAATAGTTGGAATTGTTTATTGTTTAAACATAAACCAAAATAGACTAGAAACAATACATGTTCGAATTAAATTTCACTTAAATGTTAAATATAAAATAGGCCAATCTTTGAGCATAAGAAGTCATAATTTCATGATTTTAATTTTAAAGTTTTATTAATTTTAATAATATAAATTTCGGTACTACTACTCGTATCTGTATCAGTCATACTAGCATGAAAACAAAAATTATAAAATAGAATTGCATTGTTTATTTTTGATTTATCGGCAAAACGTGGGCATTCCGGCACGAGAATTCCGTTTGTTTTGAACACAACTTTCAATTTCTTATCGCATTCCGCCGCGGGAATGCAACGCATGAGATTATCACAGTCTAGTTTACTTAAATTGCGCCTGGCTGCAATTGCAGTACAAGGTCGGTTCCGTCGACGCGCAGCCGACTTTGCGCATCTATTGCAATTCGCGCACAAGGTCGCGTGGCATCGACGCGCTGGCTTTGCGCATCTATTGCTCTTTTGCCTCGCCGGGTTTATGCAGCAGGCACGAGTCTTAGTGAACTATCGCATCCCTTTTGCGTGTGCAATACTACAGTTTCGGCAAGCGCTTACTGATGGATTCAATTCAGTTATGGGCCGGTCGCTGGAGTAATATCTAGACGTGAGTTTCAGCGACGCGTACGTTTGATCGGACTTCTATTTCTAAATCTCTGTGCATTTCGAATATGTTCGGTCATCAATCGATTTAGTTGTACATGCATCTGCAGTGTTATGTTAGTGATTAATGGTGCGTTTTATGTTCATAAAAGTTTTTTTTTGCTCGGTTTTGATGCGTTCATTTTTCAAAATTACAAGATTGCTGCGGTTTCTTTATTGTCGGTTACTGTGTGACTTTGTCGGTCAATCGGATACATATTCCTGCTAAGTGTGTTTTTCCGTCATTAGGAGATCCTTTCTGCTTAAGTAAGTAACTTATCTGACCATTTCGAATAAATGTTTGGTTTTCTCCGATGTGTGAAATGCTAATATTACTTTATTGTATCATAAAGTATACCAAAAGCAATATTTGCGATTTGATAGGCAATATTAAATTGTTTGTGACTGGTATTTCTTGGCGTAATATCAATTTTGTTGCATATTTGGTAAAATGTATTTTTAAATCAAAACCTGCCAATAGTAGATAAATGGTTGTGATGGCACTACGATGCACGTTTTAGCGTTAAATATTGCTTGTCGGTGGTAGTGAGTGCAATAGTGTCCGTGTGCGAGATCACGCGATTTCGCAATAAGAGATAAAAGTTTGTTTACCTGCAGATATCACATCCTGCAGTTTATATTGGCATCGTTTAATCGTAATCACTATAGTGTTGTTGAGTTTATCATTTGCGCGCGTTTATCGTCCGCCGGTTTGTGATCGCGCTGAAAGTGTATATTACAACTCACAATAGTTGCTAGGTAAATCAAATAAATATCGCCCCCATATTGACTATTACATCTTTTTTAGGGACGACCCATCGTGCTGGTGTAAATTTTAACAAAACTGCACATATGGTTTTTTCTCTCCGCTGTGTGAATATAATATTACAAAATAATATTGACGTGATAACGTCTTTAAAATCGTTTTAGTCGCGACATGTTCAGAAACTTGTGTCACGAGGCCTCACGAGGCCGATCGCTATAACGAGAGAGAGAGACGGACCGATCTCCCTGTCTCATCTCGAGCGCTGCCAGTCATTCCGTGAAACTTGTCACGCGGGAATCCACACGAGCGTAGGTAGCATAGTGTTCGGAGTGAGTGGACTGATCTTTCCGTCTCTCTAAGTACTCTAGCGGCATACAAACGAATGGAGATTTTCTCTCGTGCGGTTAAGTTTTCGTTGAATGTTTAACAAAAGTGAAAGAAAATGAAGTGCAAGTGAAGTAAAAGTACAACAATTGCAACAAAAACTTATATCACCAATAAGACGTTATCACGTAAACATCTCGATCGTAAACCTACTCTTGCATAAACAACCATTTTGTTTTTGTTTTAACTTATATTTTCTATTTACAGTACTTGCTGTGACTAGAGTCCGGATGAGTTCTGCATTGCTAAGTTTATAATTCAATTATATTTTCGTTTTAATTTCTGCGTCGTACATTAGTATTTTTAAGTAGTTCCTTTTCACGTTCCACCGCGTGTTGCAAAAGATACAAGAGAGTCGCGTGTTTCAATCTGCTTCTCTGAATCTCTTTGCTTCTTACGAGATATTCGCGAGATTAACAAAATGCAAAAAAATAGAAAACTGTCACTTTAGCACCTTTTAGACGCATTTTCGACCTTTTACCGGAAGGAAAATATAATTATTTTTATTTTATCCGATAGAGTAATTTTCAATCTTTTCATAATTAGTAATTCGTATTGCTATCTCTTTAGTTTAAGAGATTTTAATTATCAAAAATCGTCGAAAAGTATCAAGCACCCCCTTGGTACTTTTTCTTAAGAATTAAAATTTCATCTCTCTCAGATTTCCGCTTTATCTAGCCTATCTTATAGAGAATAGTCCGTAGATTAAGACGCTGTAATCGGATCCTAATTATCTCTTTTAGTTTACGAGATATTCGCGATTGAAAGCAATAATGTAACTGAACGAAGTACAATAA